AAAGTCATTGGCCAATGCAAAGATATATTCGTTTTGGATATCGAATATGATCGTTATGGATCATCTAGAAAGATTGAGAGACAGAGACTGAGTTATTGGGATAGACACAATATCATGTTCTAGACTTAGTTGAATGTTCGTTGAATGAAAGGACCGTATCACTATGAGCTCTATATTACAGGGAGTTTGAATAGTCCTCACAAACGTCCTTATATATTAAGTTTGTCTGGTAAATCGTCTAGGGATTCTACTAAGACCTTAATTTGATTAGTGCTTAATATATAAGGCCCTATGGGTCACACAACAAGTGATTATACCTTCCGAATGAATTGTTAGAAGGAATTAAATATCATTAATTGGATTAAATAATATTTAATTCATAATACTGAAAATGGATTAAATATTAATTAGATTAAACATATTTAATTCGTAATGTTGAAGGAGAGTTCTATTTGATAGAATTAATTAAGTCTGATAAATTAGATTTATTATACTTAATTAAAACGTATTTATAATTAAATAAAGTTGATATTTTCTTGAGTAAAATTTAGAATTAAAATGAGTTCAAGAAAATACAAATACAATAATAATACTAATAACAAATGTACATAAAGAGAATGAGGTGGTGGATCTCCCCATTCCTCTTAAGTATGTACGTACGTTTTATTATTATTATTATGGAGTATATTTTTATTTAATTTATAAATGGTAATGGTCCTAGTTAGACTAGAACTCATTAATGAGAAAGACTTTCATTGTGATTGGGAAACTAGTTTAGAACTAGTATAAATACACCCTCCTCCTTCATAATTTAAAGACCAGTTTTTAGATTCAGTATTACCAGTTTATTTCCCCGCAAAGAGATTTCCTAGCTTTTCTCTTAGGGAGATCTAACCGTTCTTTCGGAGAGGAGAAATCACGTGGATACCTAAGGTCAAGGATTATCACCGCTAGGCTGGAAGATCTGTAAGTTCTAACTCAGATCTGTTATAATTATCATATTCGTTATTTTGTCATAATCAGGAAAGATCTGTTTGGGAAAATTTTTAAACTTCCGCTGCCGTACTTTCGAGGTACGTTACATCAATTTCCTAACACCTTCTCCACTTCCATGGCCACTGCAGCATCACCACCCACCGAGGACTCCACGCTCGAGGACTCCACATCTGAGTACGTCTCCATTTCGACCGAAGGCTCCCCCGAGATATCCTGGGAGTCGCTTTGTGAAGACATCTACTCACTAGCTCGAGGGCTCGGAAGAACTAAGGTTTTCTAGAAAATTCTATCTCCTAGCCTAAGGGCACAAGGCACAGCTAACTAGAAGGAGAAGAGCAGGGGGGAACTGACCTTGAGAACTGAGGATTCAACCGAGGGCAAGTTTCTCTCTCTAGAAAATTTTTGCCAGAGCTTCGCTACACTGAGATCGCACAGTGAAGAATGGCCCTGGCCATGGGGTATTTATAGACGCTGGGATCCGGGCTTGGGTCTGGAAACCGGGCCTCCGGTTGGATCGCCATCATTACCGACCGAGTTTTCACCCAATCGGTGACACCCGCCCACGGGCAGCCAACGGGCACACACCACGTGGCACCCGCCCCCCCAACGGCTATATCCTGACGTTACATATTCCAACGGCTATATTTCCAACGGCTATATTCTGGGGGGGGGGGGGGCGGGTTTTTTACTTCACTCCACTTCATCAAGGGGAGCCTCCGGGTACACTTACCCAGAGACGCTCCCGGATTGTGCCCCACACAGTACATAACAGACGCCTTCGGGAGCACTCCTTCAGAAGCCCAAGGCTTCATATCAGGCTACCCCTCGGGGATTCCCCCTCAGCACTGTAAGGGCCGGGTAGCCCCCGGGGAGTATGCCTCATTGACGGATAGCCTACGGCATACAGGTAACGAAAACCCTCGGATACCCTCATCATCAACTACTCAACAACCAGGAGACACCCCGGTAACACTTCGACTACTACCATCATCCACTACGCCCTCGATCCCCAGATTGAGGGACACGCCTTCGGCACCTCCCAGGACATCAACAACAACCCTCCGGCTAATCAACACAGGAGCCCTCGGAACAAAGAGAGCCTTCGGCATTACCATTATTCTCCATTTTGAGCCAAGGTTTCACATTTTCGATTCATCATTGGGGGAATTCGGTGCACTCTTTTTCCCTCATTAGGATTTTTTCCCACAGGGTTTTTCCTAATGAGGTTTTTAACGAGGCATCCCCCCAAAATGAAACGAAAAGCGTCAGCCTTCGGCCCGCAACAGCAACGCAACTACTTCACTCCTTTTCACCACTTTACAAGTGCCTCAAGGAGTGGGGGACTGGAGGACCCCCTCTGGAAAATCATTAAATTACAAAATGGTGAAAAATTCCAACAAACGGCAAAGCAATCCCTCAAGTCCCGACATGTGGGTAACTGAGGGACTGCCTTCGGCAGGGACATGAAAGCAACAACTCCTCACCAACTTCAGAGATTACAACGGGACAACATCAAAGGGCAAGCACAAATTACTCCTTTTCCCTCAAGTACCTTTCGGCAAAAGGAGTGAGGGACTCCTGATGGAGTATATGGCCCGGGAACCCCCGGCCCACAGACTCCTACTACACCAATAAAGGCCCAACCGGCCCAGGAAGCACAGCAGGCCCAAATTACGGCGCCCCCAAGCACTTAGCAGCCCACAACGCGCACTGGGGAGCCTTCGGCCCCTGGCCGAAGGCTCAAAACTCTCACAGAACGGGTTTTTCAAGCAAACTAAGAAACTGGGAGAAAAACGGCAAAAAACAGTAGCCCTCGGCACCTGGAGCCCTCGGCACCCAGGGGGTCCCCGGCACTCAGAGCCCTCGGCTAGTCCTCTGCAGCTGAGGGCACCTCTCCCGACATAATATCCGCGCCACATGCGTACAGATCACCGTACCCTGTACAACGTCCCATCCAACAGCCGCATTAAATGCGGCCACATGCGGCTGCCAGCGCCAACCAGTTGAGGTGACCTCTCGGCCAATGGACGCTTGACACGTGTCCCTGTCCGGCATTTATTGCTACTATAAATAGCACCCCATTTCCCCGTTTGTAAAAAAGTCACAAGTCATAAACGCTGCATACTTTCTGAATACACTTTCTCTCTCTATACTTACTTGCTCTGACTTCTCTCTTGTTATTCCCCGCAATAACCTCCCGAATAAGCTACCCCCCGGGTACACTATCCATCAAAGTATATGAAACTTTACTGCACACTTTAAATTATAAAAAAGATTTAAAATAAAGATTATAGTTTCATTCATACAATATTAAACATTGATTGTACACCAATAGTTTGAAATCTTATTTTAGTTCAACTCAAGTCGAAAATATGAAATACACTATTCGTATTACACAATTTTAACTCGAATAAGAAAAAGGAACACTCAAATATATCATTTTCTTTCTCCGCGATTATTCTTATTTCTCATCCACGCAATACCTCTTTCTTTACCAAACACACATATTCCACATTCTTGCATCACATAAATAAACCACCATCCATCTATAATGCATTTGATCTTTTTAAGTACATAAGTTCGAGTTTTTAATGTTAATTGAGTAACCCGTTAGATTAACACGTTAATACGACTGAGTTGGCTAACAGAATGCTAATAGGTCGACTTTTTGAAGGTCGACGCTAGCCCCCGGTCGCTTGATTGACTTCCCCTTGGTCGAAGTCAGTCCCCTGCAGGTCGACTTCTCCTTGTTCGATGCACCCTTGCTGGCCGACGCCCCCCGCAGGTCGACTTCTGAAGGTCGATTTTCCTTTTTTGTCGACTTCGTGAAGGTCGGCACCATAACCTCAGTCCATTACCCCTTCTTACTCGACATTCGTTAGCCAACTCAACTGTATTAACATGTTAATCCAACAAATGTACTCAATTAACACTAAAATCCCGAATTTGTATACTTAAAAAGATCAAATGCAATATAATGTACTCTTTACTCCACCTCGTACAAGTTGATGTACTCAATTGACAATTTCCTCATTTCGTAATCTTGATTTTTTTACGGATATGACTCTTCATCAGTTCATGATCTCCCCCCAAACTCCGAAGTAGAAATAGGTTCTAGAACTCACTTCCACCGGCAATCTTTAGAAACAGTAGATATGGGGATGCAGCCCCAAAAATGATTAATAAAATATTAGGCCCAATTAGGGGTGGGATTTTGGAACCGGGAACCGTTAAAATGGTTGGAACCGAACTGTTATAACCCGGTTCGGTTCCTACAAATGAGGTATTAGTTGTTAACGGTTCGGTTCCTAGTTGTTGTTAACGGTTCGGTTCCCGGTTCCTATAAAAAATATATGCACGGAACCGTTAAGGAACCGATATTAAAAAAAAATAGTAGCAGTATTCGTAGTAATACTAATATAACAAAAATAAACACAACAACAACAACAATAATAATAATAAATGAATGATATTTAGCCAATAATTCTAATTTAATTTAATCTATGAAAACAAAAATAATAAATATTTGCACATGAGGTTGAATACATTAAGCTCATTTTTACAAATCAAGTTTTGTTCCATCAATAGGAGTAGAATGTAGTGATGCTTTTATATTTGTACATGCAAACTCAATGTATTTCTAGGTTTTGAGAGGCAAAAAGTGTACTCATATCCTTGACACTAAAATGATGAGCAACCTTCATTTTAACGATATAACCAACGATTTTTATATCATAAGATTTATGAAAATTAAGTGTTCACTTAAGCCTGAGTTTTGATGTTTGGAACGATTAGAACTCTAAATAAATGTTTATGACTTGTTGAGTTTTTGACGTTTTCATGTGGTAGAAGCTAAACTATGTGGAAATTCTTACACGAAAAAAATTATTCTAGGAACCGATAAAAGCAAGAACCTAACCGTTTAATATTGGTTCGATTCCATATCGATTCTTGATTTTTTATATAGGAACTGAACCAATTTCTTTTGTTAAAATTTAAATAACCGTCCAACCAACCAAAGGTCCAATTTTAATTAAAGGCTCGAGGAAGCCGAGGAGTCGGGATCCATCTACATCTATCATCCACAAACGGTTGAACGCTCGGCCAAGTCGCCGATTCTCTTCGCGGTTTCATCCTCCGTCAGACGCCAACACGCAGCACATCAGCAGCACCGCAGCACGCCTCTTCAGTCGTCAACTACTCACATCACTCCCGTCGCTCAGTCGCCTGCTCTCAGCCACTCAACCTTCAGCGGCTCAGTCAATCGTTGCTTCCCTCAATTTTCACATCCAACCATTCATAGTCCCGGTATTTCTTCAGTCCTCTTTTATTGATTAGCTCAATAATAACTTAGTTCATTGTTTTTTTATAAATATTTAGTTAAATACTTAAATTAGTAATATCTTTGTATGTGGAAACCTAAGAAAACCGAGAAACACATTTTTATTTTCCCACACGCGTCACCAGAACGACAGAACCAATCAGAAAAAATATAAGATAACAAATCTTTACCTAAGATCTCAAAATGGCAGAAATTTACGAATATTTTTATTTTCAGAAAACTTGCCCTCTGCCGGTCAAAAATCACTCGAAAAATCGGTTAGCCTAAAAGTGGGGTTTTTGTATATTTGTTTTTTGAGAGGTTTTTATTTTGGTTAGAAAATAATTGGACTCATTATAACTTTATATCATTATTATTTAATTGTTGTACCCAACAACTGGATGTCGTCTTTCTGGTGATCAAAATTAAACATGAAAAGCGTATTCAATGGAGCATATTTCTATATTTCTTTGATTCGTATTTTGTTAAGGAACCCAATTTATGTGGAATTTGTGTACATAATCTAAGCTTTATGTACCCTTCAATGTATGTACCCAGTAATATGAAACTTAAGTACCAGCAGTATGGTTGAAGGCAAATATATGGAAGTAGTCAAATTTGATCACAAAATGGGACTGAAAAAAGTATAAAATTCTCCTAGTTTCTCTACTACGTATTTTGGCTTATTACAAATTTAATCCGTAATATAAGTTCTACAATTTTTATATAAGAAAACCAAGTTATTAATTTAAGATTAGTTTTTTTAATTACAATTTTTTGAAGTAATTTTTTTTTAAATGTCCAATTGACCAAAGCACATTTTTAAGATTCATTAAGAAACTAACCTCAATATACTCTCAATTGGCTTAAATCTGTTTAAATTTTGAACAGAATGTATAAAAGAAAATACTAAAGAAATCATTCATTATGTAAAGCTTAAATGAATGTAGAGATGATTATTCATCACTCATCAGGAACATCTTTAAAACCAACGACATATGTGAGGCTTATAGAGTTATATTGGTCATCTTTAGCTTTTAGATAATGCTTCTTATGAAATTCAAAAAGTCAAGGTTTATTATGTAGCCTTTAATTGAAATGCATCCACAGTATTTATTCATCGAAAGCTACATTGGAAGAGTTTCTAATTGAAGAATTCCACATTGAGAACATGTTAGGAGTCTAGAAGAATACTTCAAAATGGCCTCCAAGCCTCACTCCATATGTAATTGCATTAATTCTTGAACCTTGAGAAGACAATTAATTAGTTTAAATTGTTTACACTCTGTCTGCATGTACTTCGAGAAGCACAACCTAGGGGAGAAAAATACCATAGTATATACTCCGTATAACAAAGAATACAAAAATTAATTACTAATGCTATGGAAAACGATGTACACATCTCGGTGAATCCTAAAGGCTAATGCAATTAAATGCTTCGAGAAGCTCAAGACACAATATTTAAATCTAGCAGTCTTTTTATTCATCCAAGACCTAGATAAATGGAAAGACATCATTGCAACCGAACATTTTCTCTTTCTTCCTTTATGTCACTCGGTATTTTATATGTAGGTGCATCCATAGTATTAAAGAGTTCTAGAACAATTGAAATACAATAATCCTTAATTAAGTGATTAATTGTTTGGCGTGAAAACTGCTGCCATGCAACGGTGCAACTTCCTTATTTTCTATGTACGTTTTTTCCCGCCCAACACCCCTTGTCCTCCCTCCTTGGGACTTTTGTGTTTTACTATATTATATAGATTTCCAAGCGATTGGAGTAGAGACCCAAACTTAAAAATGGGTTTTGTATAGTGAAAATAAATGAACTGAAAGTCATCTACTTTTGTTGAAAATTGTAAACTTAAAAGTAATCACATTCTATAATACCAAACCTCTAAGAGCTGTTTTATCAAAACCATATAATGCTTTGAATAAAGTTGTATTCGAAGTACATGTTCATTTTACCAGAAGAGATTAGATCTTAGATATATACGTAGTACTCCCTATTATATTACTTCCTTCATTCTTTAGTAATTGCTACTGTTTGTGTTTTACTTTTTACACTTCTCCGAAATCGTTCCCTAATCATATTTTTTTAGGGAAAATAACATTAAATAACATCGACTATCTTTCATGAACCAAGAGTAATACGTACTTTAAAAATAACTTCTAATAATACCAACCATCTGAATGTAGAACAAAAATAATACGGAGTCACTTTTCTATAAGAAATTCCGTCGCTTAAGACATCAAAAACTATTATTAAACCATCAAACAAATGATATTTGGAAATACAGTCACTTATTTGATATTTTGATATTAGTTTTTGATGAGTAAAATGATTGATTTTTTGTGAAAATATGCTCTATCACTTTTGATATATATTTAAATAGTTGGTACTATTAAAAGTTATTTCTAAAGTACGTTTTACTTTTGGTTCATGGAAGATAGTTGGTATTACTTGAAGTAATTTTCCCTCTTTTTTATGAGCATATAAAATCAAAACATTTTTTTATTTTGTTAGACTTGTTTCAACGTAAATTTTCTAAATAGATTTGCATTCTTTGGTGTTCTCGCCTGAAACAAAAAAATTGTTTTGTCATTGTTGGAAAATAAAGAAAACATGTTGCAAAGTATATTTATTTAAAAATGATCAAATAATTATACCACTAGTTAATTGATAGAGTAATAATAATAATAATAGCAAAATTATAAATCAATTGTAACATGCTCCATAAATCAGAGGTGCGCGCTTGAGGCGCGCAAAGGCACGTGGCGCCCTAAGGCGATCACTTTATCGCATCTTCCACCCCCAGGCGGCATAGGTTCCAAGAGGCGCGCCTTATATGGCGCTTTTTGACGCCTTTTGCGCCTCTGAGAGGTGCGCGCTTCTCACGCATCATGGATGTCTCTTTTGGTGATTGAGTCTCTAGTCTTCTCCCTTCTTCCTTCTGCGTTTGGTTTGCTTCCGAGTTCCCACATCTGCGGTCCTGTTTCTTGTTCGCGTAGCAAGACTCGCAAGTCTGTTTCTTCCGCTACTTTCTCGCGTCACAGAGTAGTCGCAGGTAAGTATTTATTTCTTCTCTTCTACAGTTTGTTCTCTTATACGTGTGATAGTTTACTAATTATGTATTATTTTATATTTTATTACCTTGAAATTGTAGTGTTACTACCTCTGTTGGTCTGTTCTAGATCATGCTGAGTAGGGTACCTAAATATTTGATTTTATTTAACAAATATATAAGACAGATTTTATTATTAACAATTTTTTATATAACATCTTATTAATTATGTTTTGAAATTTTAAGATTAACTTTTCTGACTTGACTCTTGCCAATGATGCCGTTTGATACTTATTTCTTGCTATTGTCTTAATAATCATTTGATTTGTCTTATGATGTATGTTAAGATTGTTTAATAGTTTGAAGTATTTTTGTGATGTTATCATTTTTTGAGATGAGTGCTTCATGTAGAAGATTAGAAATAGTATACTATATATCTTACCAAAGATATGATGTTAAGATCCGTGAGGCGCGCGCCTCGTCGCCTAGCGCCTCGCGCCTCGGGTAAATCAATGAAAACGCCTCGTGCCGCCTCGCGCCTTTTAAAACTAAGATTGTAACATGCTCCATAAATCAGAAATGGATACAATGAAAATTGCTGTGGGGTAGTTTTTGTCAAACATGTGGAGTGGTGAAAGCGTCAATAATGGTGAAGCTGGCAGTGGTGACTTTGGTGGTAGAGGTGAGATGTTTCTTAACGATGGATTTGACATAACTCTACAGCCCAAATGAAAGAATAAGAAGCCATTTTCTACGGAGTATATTTTTGGGGATTTCATTTGGACTTTAAAAGGCCACATTCGATTTTCTTTTCATATGGAGCCTAAATGACTGAAAACAACAAATAATTAATTGTCATTGATTTAACTTAAAATGATAGAGGTTATTAACTTAATGCAGCCTATTTTTAGTCTACACATAATCATGTCTCCTTTATCTGTTACGGCACATCAATTTTCCCTTTGTACGCATACTCTTTTACAAAGCAATTGAAATTATACATTAATAGAATTGCTGGACCTAACAAAATTGTCTATTTTTAGAAAAATGATGGGTAATATTATAACTCTTTCTAAGTTCTTTTTCAATTATATTGCGAGTAGCAGATAAAAAATACCGCTGTGATTATTGCATCATTTGTTTTCTGTTGGATAATAATACTTCTTAATTTGATATTTCTTAAAATGAGAAGTGTACACATTTTTTGGGGATTATGAGGTATGATATTTTTGTTTTGATTTTTTCAATTGGTTTCTTTTTGTAATGTGAAATTAAAACTTTCCAAAGTAAAACTCTTTGTATTATCTTCAGTATATTTTCAATGGAAGGAGTATTTTATTATTAATTGAAGTAAAAAATAATATTTAAAAATTGTGACAATTATTTTGTCTATTACATAATTCACTGTCAAAATGAAAATTTTGGCATTCAATTAAAAAAATTGTGTTTAATACAAAAATGGGTCAACAAAAGGCACTTAATTACAGAAGGCTCCTAAATTAAATGTTAGGCACTGGTAATTCAACCAGCAAAAGCAGTAAACAAGCTCACAGATCTAAGCAGAAATGTAGATAAACTGAAGTTTATTGATATGGGGGATGATCCGTAGGTAACAACAAGGCAACCGGGACAGGGACTTCTTAGGCAACAAGGCAACACACAAATCAAAATAACCGTCCCCTATTATGGCTACCCCAGCTTCTATTTATAGCAAAAGTCCATGCAGGGACTATATAGACAACTAAATAAGCTATAGGCACTTTAAAAGCTATTTAACTCCCCTAACCCCCTTATTTAAAACTACTGATTAGACTGATGCCTAACATTACTCCCCCCTAAACAACCACCTTGCCCTCAAGGTGGGTGATAGGAGTCAGCCATGATCTTCCGCTTGCACTTCATTCTTGCACCTCTCCCTTCCCAATACCTCCCGGATTTTTGGACATTTAGCTCACGTACTTGAAATTGCATCTTCCTGTTCTTCACTGCAAGGAGCAGAAACAATATCTTGGTGCCAGAATGCTCCCTGTTGCTGCAAAAGTGAGAATCTCGCTGCTGCTGCATCATAGGCAAAATATAGGTGTAAACTACTTGCTGAACAGTTCCATCAAGAGTGTGCAGTCCATCCAGCCACTTTTCATCAACTTTGACATTACTAACACTTTCTGGCTTTAAGGATAAATCCATGAGATGCTCTCTGGTGTAGACCTCAAAAACAACAGCCTGAGTAATAGAATCCAGGCCCTCACTGACTTTATCCAACTGGTATGCAAGATTAAACTCCTCAGCCCCTCTGTTTAGAGTTAGAGGAATCCCGAATTGAAGAAAGTATCAAACTGTCGCCCTTAACTACCATTTCATCGGAGTAAGTGAGGATTGATCCTTCAATTTCCCCAATCAGTAGATCATTCTTCCCCACTTGCTTTGCTAAAGATCCCAATTCCCAATTCTTTTCTCTTTTCCTGAGTATCTGAACCCACGGATCATCAATTGCCATAAAAAAACTAAGGTCCAAACCTGCACCTTCCCTTTGAACTAGTATACAATCTATCAGCATTCTCCTTACATTCTCACCCATGATCAAAGCCGCCTGGGGAATAGCTGAATTGAATTCATTATCAATCACCAGGAAGATGTCAACAAGTCCATCAGTAATATAACCAACCTTCTCATTCCAAATTCCAGTAATTCTCACCCCCACACCTTTTTGGACATACTTCACAGAAATTTCATCCTCAAATCTGTAGCCATCAAACTTATGCAGCCCTTCCATAACTTCACTTGCTATTACCAACCTTGAGACCTCATTCTCTGCTGGCATTGCTGTTTGCAAAGACTCTCCATTATTAACAAATGACTCAAGCATATCACCTTTACCAACCAATAGTTTTACAAGTAAGCCGCGGTTTGACCTTTTCCACAATCCTTCAGTATTGGCCACTATCAAGGTAGAAACTGAAGAAGAAAGTTTAGCAGCGTAGGTTTTCCACAGGTGTCCACCATTGATATACTCATATCCATCTCCATCATCTTCAGAGAGAGAACCTTCAGTTATACCTAGTTTCTCCAGAAAAGAATTGTCAGCTTTGGTAGCCCTCGGAGCATCCTCTATTTTCTGGAATGCCTCATACCTTCCATTTACTGCCGATGAAACCCGATGCAAACTCTTATGTAAATTCTGCCAATGGACTTCACCTGAGGCATCCTTTGCACAAGGGACATAGAAGTTGACCGCATTCTTTTGTTCTTGTCCATGAGCTCCTTCTTCAGCTTGTAACATGTGTGCAGGTTCCCTTGTTACTTGTTAGTCCTGAGCCACAGGATTTCTTCAAAATAGTAAGATGCCCGACTAACTTCCTCTTTGGTGCCACCTGATAACTGGAGTTTGATTCAGAGATCGGATATAATGCACAATCCTTAGTAGCATCAGTATCTGAGCGGATCATTCCCTGAAGCTGCTTTCCGTCATACTGTTCTATTTTCTCAGTTTCCTCCTTGTTCATACCCATCTCTTCTTTCCTGGCCTTCTTAGATGCTGTAGTAGATATTAAGTTGGACTGCCAAGGTATAGCAATTCCTTCAGGGACTGCATTTATCAGCTCAGCACCTTTATAGATTTCAGGAACCACTTGGTTCTCCAATTCAGAACTATTTGGGCCAGCAATCTTGTGATCAGAAGATTTATATTCCATGACTGTCCAGGACTGAGTCACCCCAGAAGATTTCTCCTCTGGTCTTTCCTCATCCTCAATAGATTTGAGTCGGAAGTATTCTTCCATCTTAACTATCCATTTGTCTACTTTATCTCCATTAAACCAGGGTAATTCAACCTTACTTCCCGAGCCAATATCTCTTCTACTGCTATCCTGACCCATACTAGAGTGAGAGTGATCGTATTTACCTTCCGACGCAGCTAGACGCTTAGATTCCTTTGTTCGTTGATGTTGAGAGTTGGCCCGTTGTGAAGCTGATTGCAAGAGAGACGAAGATCTGCGAGTAGAATCAGTTCGCAATGAGCTGGGAGATGACGTTGTTGGTGACAGCGAACTGTGTGAAGCTAGAGATGAAGTCTGCGAACGGGAAGATGAAGTTCGCGATTGTAAACTGGAATGATATGTGAGCGTCGATCTCTGCGACCGCGAACTGAGGGAAGAAGTTCGCGACTGACCCTGCGCATTTCGCGATGCACTGGAAGACTTCGTTCGCATCTGCGAATTGTTAGAAGCCGGACGATGCGATGATCGTGATCTTCCCCTTTGTTCCTTCTTCACGGCTGTAGATGCTGAAATCGCTGCCATAGAATCCGCGATGCACTTCTGCATCTGTGCGGTCATGGAAGCTGCGAGGTTTGCCATAGCCGTCTTCATCTCCAGTTCGAACTTATCCAAGCGAGCCTCCATTTCTGGTGTCCAATCTTCTTCCATCCCTCCAGATCGTTGATGCTGTTGATCGATCGATTAGGATGCCAGGAAGGAGTGCTCTGATACCAATGTTAGGCACTGGTAATTCAACCAGCAAAAGCAGTAAACAAGCTCACAGATCTAAGCAGAAATGTAGATAAACTGAAGTTTATTGATATGGGGGATGATCCGTAGGTAACAACAAGGCAACCGGGACAGGGACTTCTTAGGCAACAAGGCAACACACAAATCAAAATAACCGTCCCCTATTATGGCTACCCCAGCTTCTATTTATAGCAAAAGTCCACGCAGGGACTATATAGACAACTAAATAAGCTATGGGCACTTTAAAAGCTATTTAACTCCCCTAACCCCCTTATTTAAAACTACTGATTAGACTGATGCCTAACATTATATAGTCTGGTAAGCCTCCCCTCATGGTGGGTATGCATGTTTTTGCTGTAGATACTCCCTCCCTATTTGTTTGTTTGGAACATTAGACTTTTGACAATGTTTAAGATTAAAATATTAGAGATAGTGACAATGTAGAAAAAGTAGGAGATAATGATAGAAAGGCACGAGAATGAAGATGACGAAGTAGAGAAGTAAGTGTAATTATGCATTTTTTATGTAAACATACTAAAATGAAATGTGTAAATATTTAAATGTGGACCAAGAAGGCAAGAAGGAAAATGTTTAAACATTCAGATACGGAGGGGTAGTATTTCATAGGCGCTTAATTATATTACTAATTACTCCCCCCTTCCCAGAATAATATCAACTCCACGGTCATTTTCTTAAAAAGGAGGAATCAAGAATGGGAAACTTTTTGGGACGGATCAGCCAAAATTTTGTCACATGGTACTGATATTTCTGGTTAGGCCAGTTCATCCTTAGGCCGGATGCGTTTGGTCTTTCATCATAATAATTGATGTCTTCACCTTAATTTATGCTGTTCGGCCCTTTTTGACAAAGACTTGAACTACTCTTCATTTTGGTCCAAGAAACTTTTTGACAAGTCAATAAATGCTGTCTCACGTTATTAATATGAATACAAATTACTATCTTTTTTTTATCTTTCTCTCCCTTCAAGAAATATCATTTTTCTATTTTGTCCATGCAAACATGCAATAAATTCTGCTATGGCCTACAAAGTTGGTAATTTAATACGTGGTGGTCTGCTACTAAATGTATTCATGTGTTTAACAAAAGTTCAACTTTTCTGAAGGTAGGTAGTAGGTAACACTCCTTTTTGTATAGAGGTGGCAAAATTACAGTTGTGGAAATTTGTAAAAAACTACTCGTAGAAAATAATTTGTTTAGTCCCCAATTCCACCTTAAAGTTGTGAGAATTAGGAAAAGCTATTTTCCTAATGCAATTTCTTGCTTACTATTTTTTCTCATACAATATAATGTTAATTAGATTTTTTATGGATGATAATTTCTAATTACAAAAAACAAAATACGTTTCTGTCTAGCTTTAATCAACCAGATACATAGATGAAGAATACATGGATGATGCACATCTGTAATTATCTATGTAGAACAGTAATAGTGTTTATAAGTTTGGGTATATATCAAAATGAGACATAGAGTATTTTATGAATATGTATCTAGTATATAACAAAATGAGATATAGATGAAGAATACATGGATGATGCACATCTGTAATTATCTAGTCTTATTATGCACAAACACTCGCATATCTTGTTTTGTACTTCATGAATATATCTATATAAATATGCTGATAGGTGTTTCCATTGTTGTAGCTCAGTAGTAAGCAATGGGTGCCGGAGGCAGGATGGCAGTCTCCCAGGAGGGTAAGAATCTCAAGTCTGATGATTCCGTTACGCGTGTTCCGTATGCCAAACCACCTTTCACGGTCGGTGAGATCAAGAAAGCCATCCCACCCCATTGTTTCAAACGCTCTGTTCTCCGCTCGTTCTCCTATGTTGTGTATGACCTCACGGTTGCCTTTCTCCTCTACTATGTCGCAACACACTATTTCCATCTTCTCCCACAGCCTCTCTCAAACCTGGCCTGGCCGCTCTATTGGATCTGCCAAGGCTGTGTACTGACCGGAGTCTGGGTCATCGCTCACGAATGCGGCCACCATGCGTTTAGTGACTACCAATGGCTGGACGACACCGTTGGCCTTACCCTACATTCCGCTCTTCTCGTTCCTTACTTCTCTTGGAAGTACAGTCACAGGCGTCACCATTCCAACACCGGATCCCTTGAACGCGACGAAGTTTTTGTGCCTAAACAGAAATCTCAAATAAAATGGTACGCCAAATATCTGAACAACCCTCTGGGCAGAGCTTTCACGCTTATTGCTCAGCTCACCCTTGGTTGGCCCCTATACCTCATGTTCAATGTTTCAGGTAGACCCTATCCACGTTTCGCGTGCCACTATGACCCTTACAGCCCTATATATTCATCTCGGGAGCGGGCCCAGATTTTCCTCTCGGATCTCGGTGTCTTTGCTGTTACCTTTGGACTGTACCGCCTTGTGGCAGCTAAAGGGCTGTCTTGGGTTCTCTGTGTGTATGGGTGCCCACTCATGATTGTGAATGGGTTCCTTGTTTTGATCACTTTCTTGCAGCATACTCACCCGTCATTGCCCCATTATGATTCATCCGAGTGGGATTGGTTGCGAGGCGCCCTCTCCACCGTTGACAGGGATTACAGCATTCTCAACAAGGTGTTTCATAACATCACAGATACTCATGTGGCACACCATCTATTTTCCACCATGCCGCACTACCATGCCATGGAGGCCACAAAAGCTATCAAACCGATATTGGGTGAGTACTACCAGTTTGACAGCACACCAGTCTTCAAGGCAATGTTCAGAGAAGTGAAAGAGTGCGTTTATGTTGAGCCAGACGATGAAGGTGACAAGAAGAAGGGAGTTTTCTGGTACAACAATAAGCTTTAATCAGTGTGTATCCAAGCGAAGTATCTCATGTAATGCTGCAGGTTGATCATGTACTTGAACTTAATTGTGTTTGAATAAAAACTTTGAAAGTGCTCCGTTCGATAATGAACAATAGAACTTTAATCTTACAATGAACACAATCTCTTCAGAACCTGGGCCTGTGGCCCCATTCTGGTTTTGAACTGACTGTTTCTCATTCTCTAAACGAGATCACCTGTTATTGAGATTGGAACATGCGGGTTTGGTTCAGGTTCAAAACTAGAATCAGTCTGATCTGGTTCCATTTGGAAGAATTAAATCTGTTCTAGACTTCTAGGGTTCAGCTGGCTCTAGTTCGGTCCAAATTCTAGGGTTAACCACCCAAGCTTTGGTCTAGTCTAGGCAAAACAAGATCCAATTGATTATACTTGTTTATAAGTTACTCCGTTTTTTAAAAAATAGAAATTAACTGAAATAGGATTAAAAGTGGGCTGAAATTTAAAAATAGGACCTTTGATGTTTTTTATTTCCAAATAGGAACAATCTTTTCCCATTTTGAAACATACTAAAATTAGCATCCCATTTTTACCTTTGCACTTATTTACCCTTTTCTATCTCCAAACGGTTGATCGTGGTTCTCTCCAAACAGTTGATCGTGACACTTATTTACCTTTGCACTTATTTACCCTTTTCTATCAGTTGATGTGACTAGGGATGGACCTGGGCCGGTCTGGTTCCCGTTCCGAGCTGGGCGGGCTTTTTTTGCAAAATGTTGGGTCTGGAACCGGCCTGGGTTGATACCGGGCCTGGGTCAAATTCAATTTTTTTTTGTTTCTAATTAACACCTGACTCCCCGTCCCCCTTCACCCCCACCCCCAAACCCCCCCAAAACACCCAACCCTAACCTAGAAAAGCAAAAAAAAATTGAAAAAAGAAAAATTGAACCGGGCCCGGCCCGAACCGCCCGGGCCGATTCACCAAAAGTTGGGCCTGAGCCCGGCCCGCCCGACCCACCCAAACGGGCTAAAAGCCCGGAACCGGCCAACCGGTCCCGGTCCGGTCCGGGCCCAAACAGTAACGGGCCGGGGTTGTTTCGGGTCGGGCCGGCCCGGTTTAGTCCATCCCTAGACGTGACCAAAGGGTCACCTTAGCCGCAAGTCACCTTCTCCCTTGCGCGGATTTGCCGATTTCATCGCAGATCACCTTCGCCACAGGCCACCTTCGTCGCCTCCGCCTTCATTGCTCTTGTCTCTGTCTTCACCGCCTCCGCCTTCCACCATCACCGTCTTTATTTCCCTCTGAATTTTAGGTTTTTCCGTTCTTCTCATTCTCCTTGTTCTTCTCTTTCTTCTTTTGATTTTTAACATTGATTTTTCAGATTTTACTCGCATTCTTCTGTTTTTATGAGTTTTGGCATTCATTTGGCTGTTTTTTAGAAACCTGTTTTGTATTTCCAATTCAGGTTTTACGTTTTAAAAAACCCTTATTTTCTGGAATATTGGATGATGACATAAGATTTTGCCAAATTTATGGCAGAAATGTGCGCACTGACAATCGATTATGGCAGAATAGATTTTGTAAGAATCAATTTTTTATTTTTTTGTCATTTAATTTCGTATTTGCGGTTTTCAATTTTAATAAAGTGTTTATTCCTTTTAAAAATTACTTTTCGAATATTTGATTGTTGAGTTCACCAAATTTGTGGCAGTTTTGTGTTATTCTTCCAAGATAGACCTGCCATCTTTGTTGGCAAATTTAAGAGTCCATACTAATGGAAGATTTAAATTGATCTTGAATACCAAATCTGCCAACTTTATGGCAGATTTATGGCATTGGTGTTGTGGAGGTGATGATGGTGTATGGAGTTGCACCGGTGGCTTCTAGATCAGAGTCTCATGCTTGTTTTGCTAAAAGACTGCGACTATGACTAGAATTGGTGGTGGCGGTGGAGGATGACAACGGTGGTTGGGGTGACGCCGATGTGGGCGGCGGTGGCAACGATGACAACGATGTCAGTGGTAGCGACCGGCGTTGGCGAGTGGGGCGGCAGGCGGCGCTGACGAGGGCAGCAACGAGGGTGGCTGAAGTGCTGTTGAAATCTTAGGGTTTCATCAAATTTTAATTTTACATTTTTAACTATAAATGAAAATAAAAGTTGGATGAGCGCATTTTTGTACAACTATGTGATTTTAAGTCCTATCAAACATAGTTTACTTTTTTGTCCTATTTGTGCAAACCAGTACACTTTTAGTCCTAGAAAGGTAATTAACTCTTTAAATAAAAGTGTATAAATATGATTAAATGAGCTACACAATGATAAAAAAAGTACTCCTTCATCTTATTTTGATGATACCATATTTCCTTTTTGGGTGTGCCAAAATGATAGTACCATTTCCTCCTAAGGCAAAAATGTTAATTTTCATTTTCAGTTTTACCCTTCTTATTAATTTTAATCTACAACTTTGCCATCCGATTCTTGCCCCCAAACTTCCTCATTTTTCCCTATACCTGCGACTGAACCTTTATACTCTTAAGAGCCTGATGGACAAAGTACATAGAGTACGTTTTACGAAGTTTGATGGTCTCCCCTCTCTAAGAGAGAAACCCTAGCATAGCAGTGGTCGTCTCCCCTAGATTTAGGGGTTGTTTTCTCCGCTTTCATCTTTGACGAAGTGCGGCTTTCTTCCGCCATTCGTGACGTTTCTTCTTTGGTATGCCACACCGCCTATATGGCGGTCTAAGGTTATGCACCCCTGACAACAGGTGGAGAGTTTCGAGGATGTCGTTCATGGACGAAGCTTCAGGCTGGAACAGATCTGGATTCGAGGGCATCCGTGTTAGGTGGCGACAAAGGAGGCTTGATAGCTAGGAAGCACGGAAACGCCGGGCAGGGGGAGGTTTCTGTCCCGGAAACTTTTCAGAAACGTGAAACGCCGGGGAACGGCCGGAAACGTTTCTGAGAGGTTGGGATGTTGGGCCGGGTTGGGAAACGTTTCGGAAACGTCACTGGGCTTGGGCCTACGCGTTTCCGCAGACACTTAAAAAAACGGGCTTTAATCGCTTACCTCTGCGCGAAGACCCGACGAATGCGTCGAACGAAGAAGGGTTATCTCCGAAAGGGAAGACTGCGAACAAAATGTGAACTGCGAAGGAGACAGAGAGTCAGAGACCAATGTGAGGCAGGGAGTGCTGCGCCACTGCTGTGCTGCTGTGCTGGACTGTTCGACGCTGGTTCGCTATTCACGGGACCGGACAGGACGGAAGAACCGAAGAAGAAAAGGGTTTGGTTCTCTTCAATTTCAATTGCTCCCCACTTCCCAGTTCTAGACTTCTAGTAAGTACTGACCCTTTATTTATCCTCAAATATGGAACATAGTTCACAAGTTAGTGATGGTGTCAGTGGTTCAGGGAGTTCTTCTGTTGGTGTTGATAATACACCTTTGTGGAAATTTATTACCAAATTAGGTAAAAGTGCTGATACAGGAGGGACATGGTGTGACACCATCCCCAAGCATGTTTACTTTTAGTAAATTATGTAATAAACCTTGAAGGATGAGTTATGAATTTACGTAATTGTTAAATTTTATTATTTCTTTTACGTGAATAGTAAATTGCATGTGGGGCCCACAGCGGGAACGGGGACCACCCGATAATTCCCGAATCACATATTATATTCATCTTTGTCTAGATGACATCTATATGGAGGTGGATATTTAAATTGGGCAATGGGAAAGGCATGGAGTTGACCAGTGGGTCAAACGAGGCCCAATTACCGGTATTGGTAATTTAGCGGATAACAGCCCGGAGTGAGTTTCGGAGACTCCTAAATTAATGTTGGGAAATGTAAATCTATTCTAAAGGCCCATAATTATTAAGAACGCGTGATATATTTTATTTGGCCCGATAAAATAAAATATAATCAAAACGGTCCGAGAAATACAACTTTCGGGGCCGATTGTACACACCGGGACATAACGGGATGACCTCCCACATAAGTGGGGGTCACCCCACGTTTTTAGGTGTGCTAGCTGACTAAGTAATAGCTGGGGGGACAAGCCAAAGTGGCTTGTGCGGACAAGAAGAGGTGAGGAAGTCTCATTGACACAAAACCTCATGCCAATGCCTCATTCTAGGCATTATTGGCATTCTTGATTGAGGAGGAAACACCCCCCTATCCTCTTGCCTTGCACGACCAAAACCAAGGGAGGAGGAGCTCTGGGAATAGCTCACACCAACAAGGACCTTGGAGGAAGCAAAAGAAAGGGAAATCCAAGAAGAAAAGCTAGAAGAAGAGGTAAGAATACAATTTCTACTCTTTTAACTAGTTTTACGGTGTATGATTTTTAAGAAATCATATGGTGGATTAAACCATGAGTTCTACACGTTTAAAAGTGTAGAATATTGTTATAAAGTGGTGATATTTAACTTAGAAGAGTTGGTGAATCGATAGGAGTCGAAATCGCCGGAAACCGCCACATATAGGAAGTTGTTCGTGCTGCAGGCTGACGAACATCGCCCGGCTTTTGCCAAAGCTGGCCGGCTTTTGCCCAGACAGCCCAGTTTCATCTTCTTATCGATTTAGAACGAGGATTGATCGAAGGGCTTAACAAAGGTAACTATTTCAGCACTTCATAAGGTGATGATGGCTGACTATATTGCTTATAATTAGTGAGTTAATTTCATGAGATTACCTAAGGTAATTAAATGTGTTTTTTATGGATTATTAATGATTAATAATGCCTAAGAATGAGAAGACAAATGTCTATAGAGAAAAGGAGCATGATATACAAATTTAAGAGTAAATTGTGTATGATCATGTGTTATGAGTATGTTGACTTGAAAGAAGAATTAATTATGAAACATATGTTGAAATATAAATTTTACTTCATATTAGAATATATGAGTGATTAAAAGTGATATTTTGAATATTTAGATAAATGATATTTTCAAAGGAAAATCAGTTGGAATTGTTTATATGACTATGAGTTGAGAACTTGGTTTGTTGGAATTAATTTGACTAGTATTAAGATACTAGTTGGACATTAAAATGAAATGTTGTTAAGATTGATCCTAAGGTTGGATTGTGAAATGTTATGCCTTAAGTAGTCTTAAGAGATGCCTTAAGGTAGGAAAGTATGAACTTTAAGTTATACTAGGGGTAGGCCTTAAGGGATACCCAAGACAAAGTGAGTAATAAATTGATCCTAGATATAGGATTGGCCTACGGGTGTGTTCGGTAGTCCTTGAGGATAGCCGGTTGAATTATGGAAACAAGTAAGGAACATGGCCCTTCGCGACTCTAGAGAGCGGGGTTGGATAGCATGGTCTTGCATCGTG